GCACGGAGGGGGGGGGGGGGGGCCTGGCCATGGGGGACCTGCGAGGAGCCCAGGCTGCCAGCTTCATCCTTGGGGTGGAGCAGAGGCTCTGGCCCAGCTGGTTCTGCGAAAACCTCAAAGGTGGGCACCTGGCGGCTCCAAGTGGCTCCTCAGCTTAATTACTTAATCACACCCCGAGAGTAATCAACCCATGAGTATTTAATCATACCACGCGAGTGAGCCTGCGAGCTGAGGAGTGAGCCTGCGAGCTGAGTGAGCCTGCGGTGGGCCAGGTGGGAGCTGGAGGTGGGCCGGGTGGGAGTGCACCCAAACTTGCTAGGGCTCTCTTACTTTATCTTTATTGTTATGTGTGTTTTAGAGGATCACTTTAAGTTGACTGTTTGGTTCTTATGAGCCTCATGAACTTGGATGTCCAAATCTCTCCCCTGACTTGGGGAGTTCCCAGTTAATATTTATTTAAATAAGTGTCTGCCCCTTTCTTTCTCTCTTCTCCTTCTGAACCTGCAACAATTTGCAAATTGTTCTTTTTGTTAGTATTCCATAGATCACATAGGCTTTCTTTTTTCTTTGTTCTCTTCCAACTGGAATATTTCAAAATTTCTGTCTTCTAACTCACAGATGCTTTTTTCTGCTGGATCCATTTTGTTGTTAATGCTCTCTACTGCCACCTTTTTTATTTTTTTTAAATTTATTCATAGTGTTCTTAGGCTCCAGAATTTTTCTTTGATTCTTTTTTATGATTTCTATCTTTGTTAAACTACTCATTTTTTAAAAGAGTTTTCTTCACCTTAAGAAGAAACTGAATAAAAGTAAATGTCCATAAACTACTCATTTTTAAATGTATTGTTTTACTGATTTCATTGAATTGTCCTTCGCTTTCTTTTTTTTTTTATAAATCTATGCCTTTATAGTCAATTAATATTTGACAAAGGAGACAAAAAACATACAATGGACTAAAGATAGTCTATTATAAATGGTTCTGTTAAATTGGACAGACATGTGCAAAATAATGAAACTAGACCACCTTCTTGCACCACACAAAAGAATAAACTCAAAATAGATCAAAGACTTAAATGTTAGACTTGAAACCATAAAAAGCCTAGAAGCAAATATAGGCAGTAAAATCTCTGACATTTCTCATAACAATATTTTTTTCTGATATATCTCCCCGGGCAAGGAAAACAAAAGGAAGTATAAACAAATGAGACTATATCAAACTGAAGAGTTTTTGCACAGCAAAGGAAACCATTAACAAAGTGAAAAGACAAGCTACTGAATGGGAGAACATATTCACCAATGATACATCAGATCAGGGGTTATTATACAAAATTTATAAAGAATTTATAAAACTCAACACCAAAGAAACAAACAATCCAATTAAAAAATAGGCAAAAGACCTGAATAGACATTTCTTCAAAGAGGACATACAGATGGCCAATAGACATATGAAAAGTTGCTCAACATCACTAATCATCAGAGAAATGCAAATTAAAACCATAATGAGATATCACCTCACACCTAATAGAGTGGCTACCCTCAATAAATCAACAAACAATAAGTGTTGGTGAGGATGTGGAAAAAAGGGAACCCTATTGCACTGTTTGTGGGAATGCAAATTGGTGCAGCCCTGTGGAAAGCAGTATGTAGTTACCTCAAAAAAATTAAAAATTACCCATCAATTCCGCTTCTGGGAATGTAACCAAAGAAACCTGAAACACCAATTCTAATTGCACCCCTGTGTTCATCACAGTGTTATTTATAATAGTCAAGATTTGGAAGCAGCCCAAGTGTCCACCAGTATATGAGTGGATACAACAGCTCTAGTACATTTATACAATGGAATACTACTCCACTGTAAAAAGGGAAAAAAATTTACCCTTTGGGATAGCATGGATGGACTTGGAAAACATTATGCTAAGTGAAATAAGCCAGTTAGAGAAAGTCAAATACCATATGATTCACTCCTATGTAGAATTTAATGAACAAACTGAACTAACAAGAAAAATAGAGACAAACTCTTAGATAGAGAGCAGGCAGACAGTTTTGGAGGATGGAGGTGGGGGTAGGAGGCAGGGAGAGTTTGAGCAAAAAAAGGGGAAAAAAGAGAAAAACTCATGGGAATGGTCAGCAGTGTGGTGACTGCGGAGGTGAGGGTGGTGGTGGAGGTGGGAGAGGTTATAGGTGGAGTAAGTGGTGATGTGAATAAAAATAAACAAAGAGAAAGAAAATCAGCAAATCAGCAACATATTCAGTCCAGCTAACGGATTTCTGACCATCCAGTGTGCAACATTCTTACTCTGGTGATCATGTTTCCACAGCTAATGTCAGCTCCTGTTGCTTTGTTCACTGCTAGAACTTAATGCTTGATATAGGCACCTAGCACATAATATGAACGTCACAAACATTTATCAAATGCATCTTTAGATTAGGAATAATTGCCACTAAGCATAATATCCCCACTGCTTGAAACACTGCCTGGTGCATAGAAGTAATTTCATAAAACATTAGTTAATGAATGAATGAGTGAATTAATTGTCCATGCATGTTTTAAAATAATTGTGAGGGATATCCTTGAAGTAAACCAGTGATTATTCAGATATTCAAATTTCTGTAGGTTCATATACATCTCATATACATTTCTTTTCAAAAATACAAAGATGCCCACCTGCCTATTTGGGAGAGTTAAAAGCATTACAAATTCAATATGTTTAAAACTGAACCCATGCTCTTTATCCTATTTACTCCTGAATCAGATCCTCTTCTAATGTTCCCTCTGTTAGTAAATGGGATAGGTCTGAAATCTCCTTTCTCCTTTGAATTTCCATTTTCTACTCAGCATCAAGTAATGGTAATTTTACCTCCTAAATATATTTTGAATATTCTCAGTTCTCTCCCTTTAAATGAGTGAGGAGACATTAATCCAAGCTACCATTAGTTGTCACCTAAATTACTTTAGTAACCTATTAATTGGTCCATGAGCATCCTCTCCAGCCTTCTCACCACACTTAACTTTTATCAGTAAAGTCTCTTCTAATAAACTTTTATCAGATGCTTTGCTAATAGGACAGAGTCTAAAATCTTTAACATGGCCCACAGGCCCCATTCATTCTCATCTGGTACCACATTCTTCCTCACTGTCTGAACTTTAATCACTGGCCTTCAAGTAACTTGACTCTCTGGTGGGTGCTGTTCACAGCTGTGGTGGCTCCTCTGGCTGGTGGGGGGAGGCTTCACACACAGCTGCTGTTCCTCAGACCTAAATTTTATTTTTCAATCACAGCTTACATTCAATATTATTTTGCATTTAGAATCTGCATTTTTTAACAAGATGTATAGTTGATTCACATAGACAATACGGCTTGAGAGTAACTGGAGCAAATCTTCAATAAACCATGGTTCTCCAACTTGAGCATACACCTGAAGCACTCATTAAAATGCGCACATCTGCCCCCACTCCCACCCCAGCCCCCCCATCAGAGCTGCTGGTTCAGAAGGTCTGGGGTGTAGCCTGAGACTTTGCATTTCTTTGTTCAGTAGCTGAAGCTACTATTCTGGGACCACATTTTGAAAACCACTACTTTGAACTATTTGGCTATGAGGGTGTTTTGGTTTTGGTGTTTGTTTGTTTTTTTAACAGCTAACTGATGACTTCATTCCACAGAAGCTAGTTTATGTGTGTGTTTGTGTGTAGCTGATGTGGTGCATGCCCTCCTCCCCGCACCCTTCCCACCTCCCCGCCCCCCAGGTGCTCTGGGTCCCACCTGGAGTCGAGGCCCGCCTTGAGCGCCCAGGTGAGGCGTGTTAAAACTTACCTGTCTGCCCCGGTGCCTCACGTGAGGCAGGTGGGCGTGTGAGAACTTACCTGTCTGCCCCGGAGCCTCACGTGAGGCAGGTGGGCGTGTGAGAACTTACCTGTCTGCCCCGGAGCCTCACATGAGGCAGGTGGGCGTGTGAGAACTTACCTGTCTGCCCCGGAGCCTCACATGAGGCAGGTGGGCGTGTGAGAACTTACCTGTCTGCCCCGGAGCCTCACATGAGGCAGGTGGGCGTGTGAGAATTACCTGTCTGCCCCGGAGCCTCATGTGAGGCAGGTGGGCGTGTGAGAACTTACCTGTCTGCCCCAGCACCTCACGTGAGGCAGGTGGGCGTGTGAGAACTTACCTGTCTGCCCCAGCACCTCACGTGAGGCAGGTGGGCGTGTGAAAACTTACCTGTCTGGCTCGGCACATCACCTGTGTGCCGCCCAGGCGCAGGGCAGATAACTGTGGGCCGGGGCGGGCTGGTACCGCATCCCGCCTCCAGGGGGCGGCGCTGGGGTTGGCCTCAAGG